ATATATATATATATATATATATATATATGTATGTATGTATGTATGTATATATGTATATATATGTATATATATATACACACTATATTTTGTTCATTCATCTGTTGATGGACGCGGAATTGATCTGTTGCTACTACCTTTTGACTACTGTGAATAATGCTGCTATGAACATAGGTGTACAAATATCTGTTTGAGTCCCTGCTTTCAATTCTTTTGGATATACACCTAGAAGTGAGATTGCTGGATTATATAGTAATGGGATTTTGTTTTTAAACTAGAAAACAAGAAATCTCATTTATTCAAAATTTAATTCTTTGAGCACTACATCCTTGAAAGGTCTTCCCATATCTTTTTCTTTCTTTCTGTTGTTATGACATGGATCTACTTTATAGAGTTTTTGAGAATCAAGTGTGATAATGGATAAGAAAACATTTTTATAAAGTGTGCAATAATGTGTAAAATATTTCTGTTATTTGTGCAACTACAATAATACTTCATTTTATAGCTAGAGTCTAGATATTCACTCCTCCAAAATTTATATATTTTAATAATATTTAATAAGATAAAGCTTCCCATTTGTTTTCTACTAGCATTTATGTAACATTGAATCTTTTGGGCTACAGTTTTATCAGGCTAACCATAGCCTGAGCACATTTAACAATTAAGGTTTTCAGAATATCATATACAAGAGATCCAAACAGTTCATGGCATGTGGTAATTTGTAATAAGGTTGTTCTGAGAATTAAGTGGCAATACTTTATAAGTGCCTTGAATGAATATGGACTGTGTGCTGAGTCTATGAGTGAGAGTTAATCACTGAACCTTGCAGACCACCCAGAACCCATATCTCAATCAAGAATCTTGAACAGGTCCTAGAAAACATCAATATTCTGTTTTAGTTTATTTGTATAAACATACCTCTGAAGAATACTCATTTACATATTTAAGGAAAAAATTATTTCTTCCTACAACTATAAAAGCATATTTAACTATGTTCAAAAATATGTGATTCACTTACCTGTCCTACCATGTACTAGATGAACATGTAAAATATGCTGTTTCTTGTGCTATAATTACTTTTAGCTCATCCTTTACATATACTCTATACTCTACAGTAGAGGGTAAATTTGTAAAATAAACACAACTTCTTAGAAAACTGTGTTAAGACAACTGGGTAACAATAATAACATTTTTTAAGTGAGAAATCTGACCTAAATCATTACACTAAAATAAACTCCAGACAGGGCTTCAGTCAAGATACCAGCATAAGTAAACACAGTACTTGCCTCTTCCCACAACCACATCAGACTACAACTACAGAACAACCATTATTCAGAACTGCCTGAAATCAAGCTGAATGGAAGTTCTATGATTCAGGAATTAAATAAGAAGCCACACTGAGACTGGTAAGAGGGGTAGAGATGTTGAAAGAGCTGGTCCTACACCCATGTGGTGGTTTAAACATCAGGAGGAATATCTTTCAGCTGTGGAGGTCTTCCTTGAGGAGCAAGGGGTCCCAGCCCCACCCCAGGCTTCCAGTGCTGAAAAGAGAAGTTCCCTATCTTGGCTCATGCTCCTGATTTCTCTAAAATCTCTCAAACATTACTTGGCTCAGTGAGCCCCATACCTCTTGTTAAATGCCCCAGGCCTGCACTAGCAGCAGTCAGCCTTGGTTTACAGCTTGGCCTCATAGGGCACCTCTAAGCCCAACACAAGTAGCCATCTGAAGATTGCCTTGTAGCTTATGTTGGGCAGCCCTGGGGAGATGACAGGTGGTGGTTGACTCGGTGACCCAGAGCCAACACATCCAGTGGACAACTTCAGATTACACCTAAGCACCACCACCCAACCACATCTATAAGTGACACACTCAAAGGGCATACTCAGTGGGCACCAGAGCAGTGCTGAAGTAAGTCCTGCTCAGTGGATGGGCCTTTGCACAGCTGATCCTCCATAGTGGTCAGAAGTGGGTAATCAGTGGTTAAATCTAGTCCTTCCAGGTGACTAGCCTAGGGATAATTCCCTCTGTTTGATGTGCCAACAGCAATCATGGCTCAACTACAACAGGAAGGTGTACAGAGCCCAGACAGGGAGTACACCTTGAGTGCCCATCCTGGGTGATTGGAGAGGCTATGACACGGGTCTTATGGAACACCTACTATATTAACTCACTATTCCAAGCCCAGGAGACATACCAGCTCTATTTTACACATAGAAACAAAAAAAGAGAGACTACCAAAGTGAGAGGGCAAGGGAAAATGTCCCAAATGAAAGAACAGAACAAAATTCCAGAAAAAGAACAAAACAAAATGGAGACAAGCAATCTATTAGATGCAAAATTCAAAATATTGGTTATAAGGATGCTCAATGAATTTAGTAAGAACTTCAAGAGCATAAAAATAGATATAGAAACCATAAAAAAGAACCAGGGAGACATGAATGATACACTAACTGAAATGAAAAGTAATTTACAGAAAATCAGCTGAATAATATATGAAACTGAGGATAAGATTGATGATTTGCAATGTAAGGAAGCAAAAAACACCCAGTCAGAATAGCAAAGAGAATCCAAAAAGTGAGGATAGTGTATGGAGCTTCTAGAATAAATTCAAGAATACCAATGTTCTCATCATAGGGGTGCTGGAAGGAAAAGAGAGTGAGCAAAAAAAATGAAATTCTCTTTGAGGAGAGATTAAAGAGGGCAGTAGACTGAATGGAAGCTACACTGACACTCTCCTGGGACCAAACTGGAATTACAACTAAAATATAGAAAAAGCATCCTGAATAATCAATTTCAACTGAAGACAAGCTGGAGAACACCCTCATAACCAAGAACCTAAAATGGAGACTGCATAGAGACTAGTAGGATGTGCAGAGCCCTGAGAGGGCTGGCTGGGCTCCCACAGGTAGCAGGTGAAGGTCTGGAGGGGTATCTCAGCTGTGGGGGGTTCCCACTGAGGACACTGGGGCCTAAACCTGAGGTTGGGCTTTCCAGCCAAGAGCACCAGAACTGAAAAAGGTCCCCACCTAACATCTGGCTGTGAAAAGCAGTAGTATATCTTTCAGCCAGGGAGAGACAAATGGAAATGCAGCACCCTCTTAAAGAGCCAACACACAAAGTTTCATGTGCAGCAACTCACCTTGGGCTTCAGCAGAGGGAGGGCAGTGTGGACTAGAGCTGTGTGAGGAGAATCTAGGACCATGTGCTCTGGAGATAGAGATCAGAAGGAACCTGTCTGGATTCCTGTGCCCAGTCATTCCCCCATACTGCAGAGGACATCTTTCTCAGGCAGACATTTTGCTGTCTTTGCCTCAGGGTGGGGGGAGCAATTGCCCAACCCTCCTGGAAAACCTCTCACTCTGCTGAGCAGAGTTTCTACAGCTTGACGCTCATTAAAAGAATCAGGTTAATCGGCTTGCAGCCAGAAGCAGACCTCAGAGTGCTTTGAGTCTTTGCCTAATCTGTTTCTGGACCTGGGTCTTAGAAAAACAGACTTTGGTGTGCATCTTGGTCCTGTCCAGCTGCACCAAACCCCAGCACAGGAGACCTTAAGCTGACGGTTGTCGATAGCTCCAAACAGGGTCCTCAGGGCCAGTCACAAATTGTGTCTGACATTGGCATGAACCAGAAGACTGAGTGCTAGCAGATCTACCTAATACATAGAAACAAAACAAAACAGGCAGCCAAAATGGGGAAACAAAAAAAAAGCCCCAAATTAAAGAACTAGAGAAGTCTCCAAAGAAAGAGCTAATGAAATGGAAATAAGCATTCTATCAGATATAGAGTCCAGAATACTGATTGTAAGGATGTTCAACAGCATAAAAAAATATTTAGAAACTATCAAGGAAATTAAGAATGACATAGCAGCCCAGCTGGGCATGGCTCAGAGGTTAAGCATCGACCTAGGATCCAGGAGATTGCAGTTCAATTCCCAGTCAGGGCATATCCTTGAGTTATGGGCTTGATCCCCAGTTGGGGGTAGGCAGGGGGCAGCTGATCAATGACTCTTTCTCGTCATTGATGTTTCTATCTCTCTCCCTCTCCCTTCCTCTCTTTGAAATCAATAAAGATATAATTTAAAAAAAAAATGACATAGCAGAAATAAAGAATACATTGGAAGGAATAAATAACATTAAAGGTAGCTGAGGACTGGATCTGTGAATTAGAAGACAAGGTAGAAAAAAAATCACTCAATCAGAGATCCTAGAAGAAAAAACAATTAA